ATTTAAGTACAGTACTAGATTGGTATCAAGGTTTCATCATTTTACAGTTGAAATGGCTACATGGAACCTTAAGTTCTCTAACAGCTTCTTCGTAATTGTTCTTCAGAACAATCAAGAATTGTCTGTTATGACTAGACTTTATGGATTTAAGTGCAATACTAGATTGGCTGCTAGGTCTCATTATTTTACAGCTGAAATGGCTAGATGTAACTAATTTATATGCTAACAATTTCTTTTCTCTCACTTCCTACTTGTGGTACTTTCTTCCAGCTTCTTGTTTTCCAGTCAAGTTTGATCCTCAAAAATTTTAATTCAATGTCAGTCGTTATCTTCTGTCCTCTTAATTTCTGTTTTTCTATTGTTCTCTCTCCTTAATGTTTTTACTTGTATCCTTTATTTACTTGTAATCCCCTGCATCTTAGTGGCTTTGTTGCCTTGCTTGGGGTGAAATAATTAAAGCAAAAAAATAGTCTGTGATGTAAGATTTTTCAATTTCGTATGTTTCTTTGGTATCATCTATGTTTGTCACTGAGAAAAAAAAAATGGAAGCAAAACATTTTTTGAAGTAATTAAATTACAGTATGTTCTCTTTTCACAGCATTAGAGATAAACTCAGAATCATTTAAGAAAGAAAGTGTTTGCCATCCACCAATTAATAACTAAAATATAAAGTTTGTGGATGACAAAATGAAAAGATGTCAATTAGACTGAGGAAAAAATACTTTTTTGTTTTGTCACCTTTAGTGTGTTAGTCATCATTTGTAATATTCAAACAGTTTTCTGATATTGAATATCCAAAAGAATTGTTTTTACTTCAAACAAGAATAATTTGTATTGACTACATAGGGTGGGAACTAGATGGGGGGGCGTTAAATCAGTTATGTTGGCCAATCCAATAAAAAGTTAACTTCTTTCTTTACAACTGCAACTATTGTCTAGTTTACACTCCTCCCAAGTCTTTTGAACAGAAGCAGTAGTTTATCTCTTGTTCCTGGTTTAGGATTGCTTTTCCAGCTCCTTTTAATGTCTGTTCTCTTTCAGTCTCAGCAGCCCCCCCCCCCCTATGTCTTAGTAGCAATGTCACCTTGCTTGGGGCAGGGGGGGGGATTTGATTGAAAAAAAAAAAAATAAAAAAAAGCGAAAGCAATTAGTGTTTTATTATAAGAAATTCCCAAAGCCTGGTGAAAAGTTCAGTTTGCTAGTACAGTGTGACCCGGATGTAAGAGAGTTGTCGGGACCGGAGAAGAAGTCTCTTATATCCGGGTTTCTCTTATATCGGGTTTAGTCTATTTTATATACATTAACACAGGCTCTAATTTGGGACCAGAGAAAGTTTCTCTTATATCCGGGTCTCTTATATCCGGGTCACACTGTATTGTGAGTTATTCTCAAAGGGTACTCATAACTATGGCCTTATGCTGGACCAAGTTAAATTTAGATTTTAGAAAACTTACTATAGATTGATGATCAGCATGTTAATGCAAAAAACCAATTCATTAGTACTGTGATTTCCTAACATAGTGCTCAGTTACTGTGGCCTTGTTCCAGATACAAACTAAATTTAATAATTAAACATCTTAAGAATAACATTTTTGAATCTTTATATTTTTTTTTTTCAAATCACTCATCTAAATATAAAGACATAAATTTAAAAATTGAGATTATTATTATTATTAATACTTTTAGTTACTTACCTAGTCCTGACAATTTTTTGTCATGGTGGGCAATTTTGACTTCCTCATATGGCCGAAGATTATCATCTGAATGGAAATCTTCATCAGAAGAACTGTAAGTTCTGCTACCAGAGTTTTTGGCTCTTCGAGTTCTGTGGGCCCGAGACTCCCGGGTCTTAGTTTTCGTGTTTCCCTCCATGATTGAAATGAGTATTATCTGTTAGTTGGTCGCATCTGGAGAGGTCTAACTATCCGACGTTCCAGTCGGGAAGATTCACAATTCTATAGAAAAAAAATAATGAGAAAAAAAAAAAAAGACAAATTTTAAAAATCTCTTTCGCTGAATGAAGATTTCTTCAAGTATCTCAAAGACAAAAAAAGACAAAAATATTAAAAAAGAAAACAAAAACAATAAAAATGAAGCAAACTTCCATAGATCAATCAAATAGCAGTGGACAATTGTTCAAACAATACTCTCCCTAGAAAGACATTTTGGATTCAGTTTTACTTCTCTACAACAGTGAGCCATCCAAGGCAAACAATCCCACACTGCTGTTTAACCCATACCTGGAGAAAGATGGATTCATGCCTTTTCCAAGGGCATTAGTCAGAAATGAACAAAACAGAACAGTTCTATTTTCTGTATCACTAAACATTACACTATTTTCCCCATCCTCTTTCAAATCCCTTATATTGGGACATTTGTTTTGCAAAAAAATTCCATAGGGACAATGGATAAATTAAAAATTTTAAAATAATTATAACAAAGTGCATAATAATATGTTAAGTTTGTCTTTGTAATTTACCTCTGAGGATAATCTTGGAGAAGATTGAAAGTACTTGGGTAGGAAAAAACTATGGAACCTTCCTTGATGAATTTCATCTTAACATCATGAAACTGATTAGAGAACTCAAAAGGATTATTATAAAAATAAATAGACATAATATATCTATATTATTCAATGAAACATGTTTGAACATCATACATATATATATATATATATATATGAAGAAAAATTTGGAAAAAACAAACAAAAATCCTTAAATGCAATTATGTTTTTTAAAATGCATTTAAGGATTTTTGTTTGTTTTTTCCAAATTTTTCTTCATTCTGTTGGATTTATATCCATTTACATTTGCTTACATATATATATATATATATATATATATATATGATTAAAATGAAATCCGTGGTACTCACATGGTATTAAAAACACTGGCTCTGAATTGTGACTGTTCAAATCTTATATATTTGCTTTTCTGAGACAAATGAATAAAAGGAAATTATGTTGAAGAAACTGGAACAGAATTCCATCTTTGGTTCAATAACTAAAAAAAAACCATCAGGAACAACAACTTTCCTGTCACTGCACACTTTAAACAACTGTTTCATAGCATCAATGACATCAGATGCATGCTTTTAGCATCTTCAGTCAACAGCTGTAAGACAGACATACATCAGAGTTGAAATTTATTTTATAAATTAATTCACACATTGAGAGATTAAACAGGGATTTGGGTTTACTGAGAGAGTATAATTTCTACAGGAAACCTCTAACCAGCAACATTTCTTGAATGAGTAAGTACCATTTTGTTTATTCCGTGTATTGTTGAAAAGAACAGAGTTATGTTAAAAAATTCTGACATTAAAATCTTTCTTTCTGCTTCAATTCAATCAAAAGATTAATATATAATAGATAGAAATTTTATTGCAAATATTGATATCATTTTGTTAGCTTTTATTCTTCAGATTTTACAAACTGGCCTATTGAATATATATAACCTGATTCTCCTCTTAGATATTCTATTGCTATTATAAAAGGAGGAAACATTCTGGTTTAAAAGAAGCAATATTGCATGAATAAATTGGAGAGATCAGATTGCTGCTAAAACATTGCTTTTTACTTATTTACATAAAAAACTATTGTTCTCATTCATGTTTCAATCACAACTTTTCGATGGTTGTAATTTATAGCCTTCGTCAGGCTAGATTTTACTTCTTTCATGTTAGTTTTTGATATTTTGTTTTTTCTTTTCTTTTAATGATTTAGAAATCACTAGTCTTTATTTTATATGGCAATGGAGCTAATTGGTCTGGATAAAATTATGCAGAATATATAATTAATGTAGTTACAAATTTGCTAAAAATACTGTTTGCATTTTCTGTCAGTAATCTGGTATATTATTATAGATCATTCCATTTCAAATCAACCAATTATAAGGAAAAGGTTTTCCTGGGCAAAATCTTGGATTCTCATACTGGACAAAAAAATTCTCATGTTCCTACCCTGAAGTGATGGAAAATTCCAAAATACTAGGTCTGCATCTCTAATAGTTTTGAAATTAAAATTCTTGAAATTTTAGTTAATTTTATGTAGTATCCTGAATGAGCACTTTGACCAATTTCAGACATTCATAACTACTTTGATGTAGGATGTACAGCATAAAAACACTGGGAAATTATATATATATATATATATATATATATATATATATATATATAATGAACTCTCCCATTGTATTTGATGTATGAGGTTCAAGCAGCTCAGTTCATAGGAAACTACAACCAGACACCAGCATATATGATTTGATTATAGCGTTGAAGGCTTTGTGCAGAACCAACCACACTTTTTGAAGAGTTGAATACAAACGACCATCTGCAGGTTTTGAATTCAGGTTTTGTCTTTCTCCTAGACCAGTTGCCATCCAAGGCTATAGAACCCAGTTGGTTCTGCTATTTACTCATAGCTGGAGGGTGAAGAGGAGGATTCATACCTTTCCCAAGGGTATTAGCACATAAGTGAATATATGTATCACACACTGAAAATTTTTTGAAAAAATAGAAAAATAAGCAAATTCAAGCTGGGCTCAAAACTTTCCTTGTCTGTCATATTTAACAAAAATATTTTAAAAGTTTGCTAATATATATATATATATATATATATATATATATATATATATATATGGGGGAGGTCATTGTGGATATATTTTCATGCCTCAGTTTTGTTTGTCTTTTTACTATATGAATAGTTCAGTACCAAAGAGAATATTTACATATGTTGACTTGTTCATAGGCAAAGTGTGTGACCATTTGCAGATGCCCCAACATCCCCCCTGGACATGTACAAACCTGTACTTGATTGCCATTTCCAAATGCATAACAGCAGACAGGTGTATGCATATGTATTTTATTATGCAATTTTCTGTATGCGTCAATGCAGAGAAAAACATTGGTGCATACAAGATAGAACATACTAATTAAAATGAGAGGGATTGTGTTGGGTGGGGGTGACCCACATGCGCTTGTGTCCAGTGTAACCCAGAGGGTCAAGTGGCCTGTGACGACCAATGATCAAACATTTGTACATTACTTTTATCCTCCCCTTCTTTGTCTTCTCCATCCACTTTCAAAACCTCCAAGCCATCCATGGTGCATATTTGCCTATGAAGCCCATGTCCACATGGACAATGGTGCAGAAAATAAGGCAACAAGAGAGAGAGGGGAATGATTTGTGCCAGTTGAGATTTATTTCTGAGAGAAGAGAAATTGATAGAGAAGAAAACCAAAGAATGAATTTGGAGAGAAAGAGAGCAATTGGAGAAGAGAGACATTAAGAGTAGATGGTTAGAGAGAGAGAGAAAGAGAGAGAAAAACAACAATGGGGAATGATTATAAATATCAACAGCACAAGAGTGATGATTGTAAAAGAGAAGAGAGGTAGACAAAAAGGTGAGATAGGGAGAGTTGGAGGATGAGATGTTGATTAGAGGGAAAGAGAAAGGAAGGTTATGGTTACACAGAGAGAGAGAGAAAATGTGACTATTGTAGAGAGAAAGTGAGAAAGAAAAAATGGCTACAGAGAGACAAAATCAGGGGATTGTTTCAGAAAGAGGTAGATAAATAGGAGATTAAAAAGAGAGGTAGACATGTGTAAGAGAGAGATAGTGAAGAGCAGAGAGAGGTTTATCAACTGTTACAAAGAATGACAAGAATCTGAAAAGAGAGAAAAACTATTTGGAAAAAAAAGACAAACACAAGAAAAACTGATTTTGGTCACACTATTTCCAAAATGTTATGACAATTATTTTACACTATTTACATTCAGACTATCGTCCTCATCTTCATTGTTATCCAGCCTTCATCAGTGATATATCAATCTGGATAGCCTACAGGATTACAACAGGTAGAACAAAAAGAGAAGCTTCAGTGAGTGCAGTCAAACATGACAAGCAGCACTCATCAACAGGCAGGTTAGGTTTAAGGTTGCTAGTGGATTAAAGCATGTAGTAATTAGGAGTTCAATCCCTGGGCCGGGCAGTGTGTAATTGGACTCGGTGGAAACATGAAAATAACTGAACAGTACTAAAAATAAGAACTTGACAAGATATCCTAGACATGGGAAATGGAACAAGAACAGTTTGTCTTGGGAGATTAAATAAAAGATTCAGTTCAGAATTCCGTGTAGATTACCTGGATCAATATACAAATAGAGGAAAGCCGGAGGCGCAATGGCTTTGTTATAACAACAATAAAGATGAGGACAATAGTTTACATGTAAATAGTGTAAAATAATTATTTGTTATTGTCATAACATTTTGGAAATATTGTGACAGAAATCATTTTTGGTAAGACTTGACATGCCACATCATTGTAGTTCTTTTATTGTCCTTTCTCCTCAATAAAGTTTTCTCATCTTTAATCCTCAGTAAACCCTTCTTTCTGGAATTATCTCCTTGCCTGTAGTGAAACAAAAAAAAAAATCTTCAGTGGAAGATAAAATTATTTCCAATTCAGTAAAGCTACCAGTTTCCAAGTAATGAAATAAGAGGATTAAGCAATGAATCATACTTAATCTATCTGCACACATTCTATCAGCCATAGTGACATACTATTTTTCAAGTAATTTTTAATTAAGTCTAATATAACAAAATTGTTTGCCTAAAAAAGCAAGATGTTTTTTTTTCTTAAATAATAAAGAAGCAAGCAAGTATCCTTCAGCTATCTGCGTTCATTTCTATCAACTCATAGTGGCATATCAGAGATTAGAGCATAATTATGTTTATTATTTGAGTGAATTAGAATTTAGAAAGACTTGAAATTGTACAGATGCTAGCAAAGGTAGCATTTAAGCCAGTTAATAAGGAAATGATTTATCAAAAATGGAAAAAAAAAAGCCTTTTAATAGATCTGCACAAAGATCTGAACAGGTTTGGGTACCTTTGTTTGAAGCGGTCTGTTAAAGAGCAAACAACTATTATTGATGGAAGCAGTATATTTGGGAAGAATGAGCCAGTCAAAGTGGTGGCAAAGCTAAGCCACCAGCTTTCCTATTGGCAACCATCCAGATGGTTGGACCAGTACAACACATGCAAGCTGCACGTCCCCTGTCACATAGATTTCGAATTGCAAATGCAGATAAATGTATCTCTTAATTTGACAAAGTTGTACTTTTGACCCTGCTTCTAGGCAGCACTGCAAATCAATGTTTATTTCATTATCCCTTGAAAGGAATGAGCCAGAGGTGGCAGTGAGGTAGCGGGAAGGCACTCAGTTCAGGGAATCTGCATTGACAGCTGAGTGATATGCAGCAGTAATAAAAGGCTAGTGAGAGCCAGACATGAACCAAAAGACAAAATGAAAGTAAAAGTGAAAGTAGCATTTGTATGGAGCAGTAGGAAACATGCATATTCACTGAGGAGCTCACCCTCCCTTCGACATGTGTATATATGCACATACCTGTGTATATAATTCTTGGAGATTATATATTCTCTCTCTCTCATATATATATATATACGTGTTGTGTTTGTGTATATGTGAATATGTACTGGGATACATTTACATACACATATATATACTAGGAATATGTTGGGATATATATATATATATATATATATATATATATATATATATATATATATATATATATATATATATATATTTATTTATGCATAAAAAGGTATATTTTTGTTTATCCGTCTAATATTGAGCACTAAAAACAATGTTAAGATGTATCTCTTAATATCGTATGCACATGTGCACAAAATATATATATATATATATATATATATATATATATATGTGTGTGTGTGTGTGTGTGTGTGTACACACACACACATACATACATACATACATATATATTTAGACAGAGACATATTTATAAGTTTAGAGTGATATATATAACAGAGAAATACATATGTTGCACATTGAATATTGGTGTTATTAAAAACATGCTTGAATATACATAGCTTCTTGATGCTAAGTTTAAATTCATCAAGGAAGGTGTCGTAGTTCTTGTTAAGCCAAGTACTTTTGATCTCTTTCAAGATGATCCTCAGGAGTGAATTTGAGAACCAGTATGGATTATTGGAAAAATAAAGACATAATATGCCTATATTATTTAATGAAACATGTTTGAATGAAGATATGCTATATATATATATATATATAGGCAGCATAACTTTATTCAATCGTATATATATTCCTGTGTACATGTAAATATGTACATGGATATTTTATAACTGCGAACATATTAGAATAGAATTGTGTGTGCTGGGGGGGGGAGTAAACCTATATTAGAAAGAGTGAGGTTCTCATAAGCTGATCCTTTTCTGACTTCATTTGATTCCATGTTGAATTTGGAGTCATCCATCAAATATCTTTCTGTTCATATCAATGGAACTGTGTATTTCCATTCTAAATATGCATACATCGACAAATATATTTCCATGATCTAGAATCCAAATAAACATTTCATTTCATATGTTTATCTATTGCATACAAATCTATGTTTGGATGAATTTCAGCATTACTTCTATACACACTTGTGTGCAATATGCATGAGCGACACATTTGCACAATATTATCTTTCTGTTGACATTGGAGGCAGAAGAATTGCAATATATGTAAGCAGACCTCTAAAATTCCATGGTATAAATTCAGATTTATGCTTGTCTTTGCCAATGGAAGATTTATGAAGAATAAGAAAAGAATGGATAAAAATAAATCAAAAGTTCTGGTGTTTCTGTCAGGATTTCTAGTTTACTCTCCCAAATTTTAATCTCCCTCCTTCCTCTCCATTACTTATATATCTGCTTCAGTTTGGCATCCATACTACAAGATGATTTGAGAAGAAAAGCAGGAGAAGGAAATTGAATTATGATAAATACACCATTTTGGTAGTGATAAACACTAAGTGATAAATAGAGAATGAAAAAAAAAATAAACATGAAAAAGTAGCATTTATTTTTAGAACAAAAAAGTGTGCCCAATTTTTATATCATTCACAGATCTCCACAGCATCTTACACATTGGTTTATCCCTTGTTTCTTGTTTAGAAATAGTTTTTAAGTTCCTTTTAAAGTCTACTTCAATTTTATACTTTTAAAATTGTCTAAACTCTGAAATTTTATTTATTTATTTTTCCTCAACAGGAGTAGATAGGTTTGCCTATGGCCTGGTTCATACTCATCCCAATCTTTGATATAGGAGTAGAGGTTTATCCCTTGTTCTCTGTTTAAAGATTGAACTTCCAATTCCTTCAAAAGTATTTTCATTCTCAATAGCCCCTTGTGTTTTTAGTGGCATTATCAACTTCCTTGGAGTGAATTGATTAAAAAATTCTCTAATAGTGCTCAAAACAAGGGTAGACGTAAGTTAAGTTTAATAAAGAACCAAGTGAAGGCACCCTGAAATCAAGTAAGGTTTATCAATCTAGTTTCCAATTCAGCAGCAAATTTAATCTCTACTACGTAACACACTTAGATGGAAATACAGTGTCAATAAGAAATCAAAATAATTTTCAGAAACAACTTCATCAACAAATGCCCAAGAATCAAACAGCTGACACAAAGCTCAAACCATATAAATCAAATAGCCAATATTAGCATATCCTTTGAGAGAATTAAGAATAATCTGCACAATGAATTAGTCATGATGAAGGTTTCTGCTTGGTGGGTTCCATATCTTCTGATACCAGATCAATAGCTGATGAAATCACAGAAAAATCTGACATTGAGGCAGATCCAGCTGGTTTCCTTGAATGTTTCTTTACCCACAATAAGTGTTAGCTTCATCATTTTGAGCCAGAGACAAAGAGACAATCCATGCAGTGACAACAATCCTCCTCACTAACTTCAAATAAGGTCAAGCTCATTTCATCTGCAGGGAATGTAAAGGTCTCAGTTATTGGGATGCAAAAGGCATTGTATTTGACTATCTTCAAAATGGCAACACCATCAATAGAGAGTACTATGCCAACTTACTAAAAGACAACCAAAACCAAATGGCCAGGAAAACTGACAAAAGGGGACTTCATTTAGCAAAATGTTCCAGCATACAACTCCTTGGTTTCAATGGCCACTGTGCCTGACTGTGACTGATCACCAAATTCACCTGATTTGGCACTATCAATCATCTGTTCCCCAACACGAAAAATACTTGGATGGTAACCAGTATCACAGTGATGTTATACCTGCTGTTGATTATTTTTTGACCAACAAGAAAGCTTCTTCACCAGTGGTCAGCCTATGAACTTTTCAGTCAACCCTCATATATTGAATAATCTAAGGAATGATGACAATACTTCATCTCACTTTCAGACATGGTTTCTTAATTGCAGACAGCAAAGAATTTATTGTGTTTCTGTTAATTATTTTCTACTGAACAACATACAAGGAATTTGATTACAAATAGGAAATGTTCATAATGACTAAAACTAGTTTAGCTTTAATGAAGGTCTTGAAAACACCAAATGCAGTTTCTAAGAAAATTGTTAATGAATAACTCCCACTTTGTATTTCTGACTAGTTGCTAATTATGAACTTACCCATAGTTCCTGTTGCTAATTAAAAGTAAAATATTGGTTATGGGTGGGGATGAGTACAGTGTAATTTTACTTTTAGATTTTAAACTGATTTTGTTGGTTTAGTTCTTGAAATTTTTAAAGAAATATAGACATAATGGGATGTACAGGTGGTGTAATGATAACAGTGTGGAAAAGGGAAATTGGGGAGGAGTGTTCAAATTCTGGGCTAGTCACTTTTGCACAAGTGTTCTTGGGAAAGGCATGAATCCATCTTTTCTCTCCATAGCTATGAATTAAATAGCAAGGTAGACTGCATTCTCTAGCTTTGGGTGGTAACCAGTCTAAGAGAAGGCAAACTCTAAATTTCAAATTATGAATGAGGCAATGGGAAGCCATTATCTTTTTAAAGAATGCATGGCAATTCAGAGATTATAAAATAAAGGAAGCTGTGGAGAGCCATTATTGCCTATTTTCTAAAAAGCAACATAGTATTAAAAATAGATATAATTGTATTAACAAGAAAAAGAAACAGCATTTATTCCACTACTTTCTGTTTCATCAGAACCGATCTCCAGTTATTGAACACTTATGAAGCTATAACAAAAAAAAAAAAAAAAAAAAAAAAAATTAAAAAAGATGGACGAAGAGGTGGGGAGAGGAGAAAACAGGACAGAATATGGAAATGTAGATCTTTCTACCCCCGGTTGCATACAAGATGCACAATTTAAATCTGATACAGTTTAATGGTAATATTAGTAGTTTTCTTATAAGGAGACATTTGTCATTCATTGACTAAATAGCCGTTACTGCTTTTAGTTGAAATTTATAAATTTTTTCAGGAAAACAAGTCTTTCAAGTTCAGTTGCTATTTTATTCTTTCCATAATTGATATGAGTTTCCTTCCTAACCTTTTGCTTGAAGTAATGTGGAAAGTCAATATCTTGATTATGTTGCCATTTTCTCTTCAAGTTATATATGATGTCCATTTTAGTTGTTGTTGCTTTTGGTAGTCATGGAGTTTCTGTTATTTGGTACAGGTTGTGATTCTATAGACCCAGATCACAATGTTTGAAAACATTCACCAAGATCTATAGGCTCCACTTGCTGAAAGCCATTTTTAACCATTTATCTGAGAATGTGGTTGTATACAACTGACAGTTTAAATAGATTTGGTTCCGTGCATGACATCCATATTAAAGTCTTGGTCTGATAAGGATATTTAACAGGACTCAAATTTTCAGGTTAATGTTTTGGTTTTGTAGCAATTTGCAGTGTTGGATGAAAATACCTCAAGTGCAGCTTTATCTATGTTCAATTCCATTATCTCTTATGTTAAATTGGTTATACTGATCTATACACAAAGTATTTGAATAAGTATATAAAATATAAGGTAATATTTTTCACAATAAAATAAAGACTAACCAATTAAAGTTTAACAATATTATATAAGCATTATATTGTAGGAATTTCAACTTTATTTTCATTACAAGATTTTGATAAAATTTCTTCAGGTGTCGAGTTTCATTATGCAAACTGGTGACAACAAAGTTTTTTTTCTAAAATAAATTCAAATGATATAGGCCAAAAACATTGACCTTGAAGGCCAACTACAAATCAAATATCATCTTTTTCAAATGTTCCCATTTGCTCAGCTTCATTTGAGTTTCTTCAATGCACATAGAGCCAACACATTATATTATATTTGTATTAATTATTTATTATTATTTTATTTTTTTAGATGTTATTAGAACTGCTTGATGTTCTAAAACATTCATCTATCTTTTAGCTGTTTATTTAGTTAACTTTTCTATTGCTTTGAATTTAACATTATTTGCATCAGTTTTTATTGCTTCTCAGATATTCATGCTTGAATATTGTTTTCCATTTTAGATAAATCTCTTTTTAATGAAGTACCATTATCTAGAGAGGCTAGGGGGTCATAATATTAATTTGGTGTCTATAGTCAGATTTTCAGAATATGAAGGAACATTGTCTTGTATAAATATCATCTTTAACTGTACCACTCAAAAACCTCTTGTCCAAGAACTTATTCTCTATATTTATATGGGTACCATTACATAAAAGGATCTATACTTTTATTCTCTACAGTACTCTGTTAAAACCAAGTTACATTTTTCTTTGTGATATTTATTTAAAAAAATAAGGTAAAAAGTCTTAAGAAACAGGAAGATCTTGTTAGAAACAAAGAAAAGAGTACTGAGCTGTTATGTGATATTAGTCCTCCTATATGGCAATGAATGCCGGACAATCTACTCACCGAGGAAGAAAAAATGAAGTATCAGAAATTTTGTCTTACAGAAAGATGCTGAGACTACAAAGAACCAAACAGGAGCAATGACAATATTTTAGAGAATATGTAAACAAAAAGGTCACTTATTCTTAACATCAAGAAGAAATAGGTGACACATGGAAGAAAGATGGCTTAAGACAGGACAAAAAGCAAGAGGGATAGGGAGAAAATGCATAACCTATCTAGTGAGCTTGAGTAAATGGATGGCAGGAGATAACAAAAAGATAAATTTTATTAAGAAAAAGGACAGGAAATTGTGGAGGGCCATGATCATCAACATCCGAAAGGGACAAGAAAGAAGAAAATGACTAGATTGTCAGCTAGGCTTCATTTTCAGGTGAAATATAAAAATCTACATATTCAGTTTAAAAAAAAACATCCTTGATAATAGCTAATCAGCTGAAACCCATAGAGTATTTGGACAAATTTTACAGACTATATGTCTAGAAAAGAAAATAGTAGTACTTTGTCAGTCATCTTCAATGAAACTTGTATAAAAGAGGAGTTGCTGCCAAAATACACAAAAATATAAGTA